ATATATATATATATAATTGATTAGTAGTATTTCGATTCAATGTTCGTGTTCGGCACGAGCTGTTCGCGAAAAACGATCCGTTTTGACAGCCCTAGCTTCAAGTTCTGAACTTACCTTCCTCCAAGGTTTTAGGGCAGAATCAGAGCGGCGGGAAGAGAAAGATTGGAATTTTGGATCTCTGCACGCCGCGATCCATACGTTTAGCCGCCTTCGGCAAGCGATACACTCCTATACCGTGGGCAGAATTCCTCGGCGCTAGTCGTCTTCTTCCCCCTCTCCTATACCGTGACAAACTCCCTACATACTCCAATTACAAAGCCACTTACGTCCTAGTAACATCAAGCCTCTTCTCTTTCTCATCTCTATGAAATGGAATCCCCAGCAAGCACCAGTCCCAACCTCAGAAATCCTTCTCTTTGTGATGAGTGTGGATCAAACCCTTGGAAGTACAAATGTCCCGAATGCTCAATCCGCTCTTGCAGCCTTCCCTGCGTGAACTCACACAAGAAGCGCATCAGTTGTACGGGCAAACGCAGAGTTACAAAATACGTGCCACTTTCCCAGTTCGACGACAACCTTCTCTTGGCAGGTCCGTTCACCTCATCCTCAATGCGTAAAATTTTTTATTCAAATTTCTCTCAATTTATACCATTCTTATTTTTTGTTTTTCATTTTTCGTTTTTGTGAAGTGTGTTTGGGAATGATGAGGGACTTGTTAACTCACGTCATATAGAGAACTAGAAACCTGGTGGGCTCTACAAAGCTGATTACTACCCCGCTATTTTTTTTTTGTTCAAAATTAAATCCGTTGGAATTGATGGAAGTCCTTTGTGCGTCCAAAGCTGTTATTTATATAGCCGTATAGCTCTTTTATGCTAAAATCTGTAGAATGTGAGTCATCTGAGTGGTATTTTGTTGTTTTTGTATCACTATTGAAATGTTCTTTGGTTTATTTGCCTTGTGTACAAGTGAAGACTACAGGTTTCTGGAGGAAACCAATAGGGTGGCAGATTCTGCAAGAAGAATGAGTGGTGGATTTCGTAGCTATTCTTATTTTAAGCTGCCAAATAAGCTTTTGATGCTCCGAAATGTTGCCCGTCAGAGACAGATTCAGCTGTTGTTCTTCCCTGCCGGTATGTCAAAGAGAGAAACAAACCAATCCAGATATGTTCCGAGGTTTGATTCCTTTACCTATTCTAAGAAGTTTTTATTTTTTATAATTGTTTCCTGTGAGACTATTATATTAAGCTTAAATGACACTATTTCTATAAATCATTCTCCTATATTTGGTTTATTTTATTAGTTCAATAATTTAATGCAAATTTGAAGGATTCTTGATGCCTCTTTGTAAATGGTTTCTAGGTCATGTAAATAGATACGTAGTATCAGGAAATTTGGCTGTGCATTGTTTCTGAAATGATAAGAATGATTTATTTGAAACCGATTGTGTGCACAAGTAAAATGAAAATAGAGAAGAGGATTTTGAAATCATCAAAAATTGATTTAAATGAGAAATAAGTTATGATTACACTTATTCACTTTTTATGCTAATTGCTGTGAAGAGAAGAAGGAAGGCATAAGATTCATCTTGGAAATTGAAGAGATGGAGAGATAGAGATTGACAATATAACTTATGCACTGTCAAGTTGAATGCCCTGGTCGAGCAATTGGTGATCTCATCATTGATGATAAGCTCCACAATACCCGTAGGAGTATGGGCTAAAGCAGAAGCAATAGCAATTTGTGTAGGTAAATCTTACTTGCAACAACATTTGTGGGCAACATAGAATGCTTGAACTAATCTCCATTGGTGTATTAGATCTTTGACTTTAAAAACAAGGAAAATATGATATACTTGTAGAGAATCAATCTAATTAGCATTAATTTATTTTTTTTTAAGGATATTTAGAGTTCCAAAAGATCTAGCATCTAGTTTCTTAAAATAATTGATATATAAGCATTTTGAGCAAATATGAATCAAAACATAATCTTCTTCAAGAAATTCATTAAAATTTAGTTGAGTATTATCAACCAATATATACTTTTCAGTTTGTGAAGCAATGCATTTTTTTTTTCGGTGTGCACTTTATGCATATTTTCAACAAATTCAACGACACGTAAAGAAATAACATTACTTGCCGCAAGAGAGATAAGATTAGTGAGGATGTGAGTTTTTTAACTGTAAAAAAGTTCAAAGATAGACTTAACAGTATTTCAATATGGAACTGTAATAGGGAAAATTTGCACTAAGTGGTACAAAGTTCAAATGTCTAAATCTTTTATAAACCAATATAAAAGATTTCTAACTTGTGGTTAAATAGTATTGTTAGCCCATTTATTTGAGAATGGAAAGCAGATGAAAACTTTAAGGTAATGCCAAAAAACTTTCAGAAAGTGCTTAAAAAATGTTTAATACAGTGTTTGTGATGGCCATAATCAATGGAAGTACTAAGTCCATGGATCTAAACAATACCACCAATGAATGAATGGTATTGTGTGAAGTGTAGCCTCTGTGCAGTTCAGAGAATGGGCTATCTTATAGAACTAGTAAGCTAAAGTAAAGATGCGAGTTATATTTGTGGCAACCCTTTGACAAATCAAGAATAAAATTCATACTCATAACCTGCCAAGGAGAATTTTTTATGGAAAATTGTGTCTATGGTTTAACAGGCTATTTGATTACCTTGTCAAGTTGGAAGCTCATTATTAACTAACGAGATGAGCAACACGTTGCTTAAATTGGGGCCAATGAATATGAAAATTGATAAGGTCCTATTATCTTGTCACAATTAACATGTCTGGTACTTGTATGCAATTTCCATATAAGAATGTTTATCAAGGATGTATGGGAAGCACAGAGGTGTGGTTCTTTTGAAAATGAAGCTATTTTGAAGTATAAGGCGAATGAGGTGGGATGATTATTAGTGATAAGTGAAGTAGTATTCTTTCAAATTATGCCACAAATATAATTTCTTTTTGTTAGAAAAACTTATATGCTAAAATAGATATCTTATTTAAGAGATTTGGGTGTGGCTAAACACATTAGTGGCCTTATTTATGACTTTTGCTTGATTCCTGAGGATGCAAGTGTATTCCTAAAAATATGTGATTGTGGCATGGCATGCATTTGATTTCCTTTGTGTGGGCAAGTAATTTAGGGCCTCATGGCTAAAGTGAAGAACAAATGTGTGAGGTAAAAGATAGTGTATCGCTGTTCTAAGGCGATGATTATTATATATGATTGAAAATCATAAGTAGAATAATATTATTTAGTCTCATTTTTTCACAAAAACAGGCTATGGATTATCCATCTTGGCTACGAACACCACCCATTCTAACTTTGGAGGCATTTTAAGCTATTTTTGAATATTTTAAAATTCTTAGGGATACAAAGATTAGGAGATCCAAATCATTTTAGTTTTAGCTAGTTTAAAGGCAGAGTCGTTAGAAAATTTTTAATGAAATTTTATTTCTTTATATCATCCATTAATTGAGCAATGAATGCACAATTTTTTTTTATAGTCTACAATAAACTTGATTGGGCTTTGAGAACTATGAATCATAGATATGTACGTGGTGTTAGCTAATCTAGAATTATTTGTAGTTTGATGGGGTTGACAAAGACTCCATTAGTAGATGAGATAAGAAACCCTGAAAAGTATACCATAACTTTTATGCAGACTTCATTTTTTTTAGATTTATATATTATATTTTGGGCATTAAGGTATCCAAAGTTAGGCGAATATGTGTTGAGTGTTCGAACTTGATAGTGTTGTAGATTAGTTTGCCATTGAGGTACTTAAAAAACTCATCAAATCAATTGATGGATATTTTACTTAGTTGTTCATGATATATTTGGTGCATTGGAGAACCGAAAAGACATAACCAACCATCTTAAAGTCGATACGGGTGATATAGATCTGAATTTGATGGTAATTGCTTTATAGGTTGATTTTACCTGTTGACTTGGTGACTAAGCATATAATATGATGATATATGTAAGCAATATTGGATAGTGATCTTTGTGATGGATTGATATTGATAACTAGTATGGAGAATTGTAGGAGTGCTTTTAATAGGAAACATACAAAGTTAAAAAAAAATAATTATAATAGTTCATTGATTGATGAATATATATGATACCAATTATAACTATGGTGGCTTGAAGCAAATAAGTGGAAAATTGCTAAGCTTGGTGGAATATTGATGGACACAAAAATTAATAGGGATTGGTTTTTTCATACACGCCCTAAAATGAGTGAATGAATGTTGTTTATTTTAACTTTGTGTGTCAATTTTTGAAATATTAGTCTTGATGATCATTTAGTGAGAATGTCTATAAATTTGTCATATGCGGTGATCAATCTAGTATATATTAGACCTTTAATGAGCTTATCCTTTTATAACATGTTTATCTACTTTAATATATTTTGTTAGTTATGTTGCATGAGATTTTGTGCAATATTAATTGCTGATTTGTTTTCATATAAATTCTTGTAAGACCTTTCCATTCAACCTTTAAATCTTCTAGACTAATTTTTAATCATAATAGTTTGCAAATTCAGTGTCATAAGTCTAAATATGATTATTGCGCTAGATCTTGGCATCATATTTTATGTGTTACTAATTTAAGTCACAAGATTTTTTCTCAAACATATGGAATATATTGAAGTTGACCTTTTATCAATCATATAACATGCATAGTTGGCATTTGTATAGGTTTTCAAGTGTCAGATTTCCCCATTCATTGATAAAACTTATTTACCTATAGCTCTTTTAAGATATTAGAAAATTCAATATAGGTACAACATTGAGGCGAGACTTTTATCTTTAGTACCAGAGCAACATAGGCTATGAAGCATCGACATGGATAAAGGGACTTGGACACACATGATATGGTACAACGACACAACATAATTAAAAAAAGGTCACAACATGTTTTTTATATTTAATGGATTATTAATATAAAAAATATATATATGTATATATATATATATATATTATCATTATTATTTACTAATGACATAACAAAAAAAATATGTAGGGATAAATTTAAAACTGAATTATGAGACATAATGCTTTTTAAAATCAATTTTCAAAATTAAACATATAATGTGATTCAAAAGAATTTCTCCAACTTATCTCCTAAAATTTAAAATATCCTACAATTACATCTTATTCAGTAAATAAACTAAAACTTAACTTTTAGAATTATAGTAAGTATATATTTATACTATTATCTCATTAAAGGGTAAGAAAAAAATTATATATGATCAAATATAGAACTGGAGCAACTTTGACTCCACAAATAGAAGCTTCAACACAAGTGTTACAGTTTGTGGGGTATTTGGGCTGCTTTAATGAAATCGTGATGAGCCCATGTCTAATGTTGTGCTAAGGCATGCCTAGGTCGGGAAAAAATAACACATATTTTGTAGTGCTGGGGCATATTAAAGTGTGTCCGTCACACTTGTACATCACATTTTTAGAAGTGTCAGTGCTACATTGGACATAGTAAAAGCCAGATCCAGTATGCGATTAATAGATAAGTTTTCCCACAAATCTTTTGAGGGGAGGTTTTTTTTTTATTATGACCTTATTTTCTGGAGAATCAAGCTTTTGATTAAATTCCATGAGGCTCTTAATAAATTTTAACCCAAATTACTTTTTTTTTATGGGCATGTTTTGTATTTCTGTTGTGATAATTACATGTCAAGAATATGCAACTTCAATATTAATAAAGTATTTTAACTTGCCTAGTTCTTTGATTTAGAAATCTTGAGGCTGCCTTTCCTTTAAAAGGTTGTTTGGTTTGATGAAAAAATAATGTAGTGTAAAATGAATACAATTTTAAAATTATGTATTATATTTAAAATATATTAGAGTTGTTCGATTGAGTGTAAACTAAATGCTGGACTTCGCATTTTCTTGTTTGATTTGAAGGAAAATGAATTCAATATAATATAAACTGTTAAGTTCGATGACGACAGATAGCCAGCGGCAGTAGGTGGCGCGCCGGGGGTGTGGGGGGTGGGGATGCGTGCGCTGTTATTGTGGCCGTTGGCGACAATTGACTTTGGAAAGCTACAGTGGACAACGACACTACTTTACACAAAATGATGTATTTAAAATTTGCCCAAATCCAACAAACTTTTGAACATATTGAAAGTGAACAA